GGTAGGCAGGTGTGTGACCTCAGTCCCACTGCAAAGGAAAAGCAGTGTCATAGTGCCGTGCTGCGCCGGTCCTGAGCTTGTGGTTTAACGTCTTTATGGGAACAGTGAACTGGGCCCAGGCCGCTGTTCAGTGCGTAGAAGAAGCATTTGTAAGTTGCTCCCTCCCCTGAGAGATAATATCTCCCATCAGGTGATGTGAAGAGTACTTCTAAGTACTTTAGAGATTCATTTGCTCACAAGGCACTTATATATTCTGCTTATTGAGGGTTATTTCTTTCTCGTTTCTAAAAACCTAACCCCTCCAAGGAGTCCAACATGGAAGAGTTTAAAGATGCAAGTCCACCTGAAAAGTTACTTGATCACTTAAAGCTTTCTGATGAAAAGTCTTCAGAGACTGGCCCTAAAGATGCACAGAATTCCCAAAACATTGAAAGTGGATGTACGCCATCTTCAGCCAAAGACCCCACAACAGCAGATGAGTGTTTTCATGACTGTCATGACTCCTTTGAGGCAAAAGCAGCTGGGCTGGATGATGAAGGGAACTTACAGAACGATGAGAATAGCTCAAGGAAGCAGACAGAACTAGATGAAGAATACTTACTAGAACTAGAAAAAGATATGCCCGAGGAAGAAAAACAGGTAATGCAAAGTACCAATGTAAAAAGGTGTATTTTCAGGGTCACATTTCTGAATGGTCTGTGGGTGGAATGAAAATGGACCTTTAAAACTGTCTTAAGTTTCTAGTTTTACTGTTCTTAATTTCATTTGTTCCTTTAGGTAACAAATATTTTTGCTTGCTTTCCTTGCCGTTCTTAATCATCACATTCCGTTGCAGATTTTTGTCTAATTTCACTAGTGTGAAAGGTTACTTTGACTCAAGAGAGATTATAAGAAACAAAAATCTCCCTGTTTCACATTAGTTAGTTTGTGTTCATTCATTGTTTTCACCTGATTAACTGCAAGGTGCTTTCCAAAACTCAGAGCAGGTTTCAGGATAGTTTTTGTATCTGAAAGGCTAGTTTATGTAATACAACTAATTTGGATTAAATTTGAAAGTATTCCTATAGATTACTTAAACTTTAATCAAACAGAACACATTAAGTGTTGGTTTTGTTTACATTCAGTTGGTTACATTGGGCAAAGTGTTTGGATAACAAACTGGATAATGTGGTGAGGAGTAACGAAACAGGTCTCAAGGGAAGTCCAGCAGCCTCTGTAATGGTGTTTACTCCCCTGTAAGTCAGTGTGAACTGTTTTTTTTTGACCCTCAGTCAGTGGTGTCATAGAATTATAGAATCATAGAATCATTTCGGTTGGAAAAGACCTTTAAGATCATCAGGTCCAACAATTACAACCGTTTTCAGGGTTCTAAGATGGTGGTTAGAAAAAAAGAACTTATTTTTGTTCTAATTTTGAGAAGACTTGTTAGATCACTTTCAGAGCTAGACTCCATTCGCTTGAGTAACGTGGTGAATTTCTGCTGGTAATTAGGTTCTCATAGCAAGTGGTGGAAGGCTTTCTACTGATTTATGGATTTATTTTTTTCCTCATTTTTTTCAACTTTAGTTTGCAAGTGCTGGGGGAGTAAAGGTACTAAACTAAAATCTGTGTCCCAACACACAGCTCTAGTAATTTTTTTAACTTTTATTTGAACACTCTATTTTTGACAAGTTTTATAGCTTGGCCTCTTGAACAGATCGTGTTTCAAAGAACTGATGATCCAGCCTCTTAAAATCTGATTGAATTATCCAAGTGAGCGGTTTCTTGTACTGAAAATTGAAATAGTGATGAAAAGTACTACTGTATTCTTTGGCAGTCGGGGAAAACATGGACGTATTCTGACGTAACTTAGGGAAGGGAAGACTTCAGCGAACTTTATTTTATAGACCTGTAGGCATGAGTTAGATCTTATTTTAATAAAGGAAATGGAATCCTTACTGGAAAGCTAGCTGCACAATTTGGATCATAGGTAACACTGAATAACTGATGATGATGGGGGAAGGAGAGAGTGGAGTAAGGAATGGCAGCTGACAAGAGAAGGTAGACACCATCCTAGGAAAGCATTACTTCACAGGGGAAGGTAGTATATTGTGTAGCTGTATAGATTTTATTCTGGAAACTCACAAATCACCGGGAGCAGTAGAAGAAAATACTACTGTAGCGGACAAGTACTGCTAAAATGAGGCATTTGATGAAAGAGAAGCAATGAAGGGTCAAATTATTTTTTTTTTTTTAAATGCTTAAAATATTATGAATGTTTCAGTGAATTTATAGGGGCTTATTACTCTTTTGTACAGGGAGGCTGATCTTTTCTAATTCAACTGACTTGGTAAAGCTGGACCACACAGTTCTTAACTGTTAGCTAGCTCCGCTTGTGTTGTATAAGTGAATAAATGCTGGCTATGCATGGCCCCAAAAGGTTGTAAGGAGGCGGGTGCTTGGCAGTAATTGGACCATGCCATAGTCTTACTGTCAACTACTGTGAATAGAGAATGAGGGGCAGAAATATGCAGAGCTAAGATGCCAGAGGCAACCAAACATCTAAATTGTTTGTTACAAATCAGTATACAGACATTAAATCAAGTTGTGGCTCAAATGGTTCCCTTGCTGGTAGGGTGGGATTTCTGACCAAAATGCATCAGTGAAAACAAAAAGATAGTTTTTTATCTGTAGTACAGATCGTCGTGCTAATGTAGAAGTTCTTGAGGTGGAAAAGCGATATGGGACTAGTGGGGAAGGAGAACATGGAATATAATCTCCTTGTAGTAGGAACAAGACTAGATGTTAACACTTGTCTGATGGTTGTCTGGTGCATCCTTTGCCCCCAAAAGAAAAAACATCACATTGTCCTTGTATCTTTTCCTGTTTAGAACAAACAGTCCCCTTTTCTACTTGTATTTGTTGCTTCTACAACAAGTAGCGTTGTCATCATGAGTCACGATGAGGCTTCTGCAGCGGCCTACAACTTGAAGGCAGCTTGAGAGTTTCATAGACAAAATGCTAAAAATTCTGTCCTATAATTAAGCTCTAGAAAGAGCAGCAGGCCTGGAAATTAAATGGCTTGGTTTTAGTGCTGCTCTTGTTTCTGTTGTATTGTTGGGTTAGAAGTTCATTTTGCACATCAATTTTTGCCTTCTGTAAAATGAGCAAAAAATCATGAATGTGGAATACTTGCATTCAGCTTTGTGCAACTCCCTTGACGGGTGCTATGGGAGTACAAAACAATGCCTGTTTACAGCTGGAAAGACTTCCTTAGAGAAAGTATTAAGACAGCTGCAGTCCTCATCTTTCTGTGGGTCTGTTTCCAGTGGTATTGAGCAATTGAGCCCTTCAGCTTGGTTTATGATTGTACCTAACTAAATGGAAGGATTCCATCTCTTAGTATCACCATAACTATTAGATTGGCAATATTTATGTTGTGACCTTTGTTTATGTTCCATAGAGAGCTTTCTAAGTGGATTATATAAGCAGTTTTTAAAACACAGCTATTATTTTCTCTTAACGAAATATTGTTGGTATCGCTTACAAGCAAAGCCTGAGAAATCCAGGAACCAGAGAGGAATTAGAAGCTTACAGCAGTTGTTATAACTATTGAGGTAGCCCTTTTGCATGATCTTACCCTGCATCACCTTACATTGTCTGTGTAGTAAAACCATGGGGATGTGTCATTCCTGGATTGCCACTCCAGCTGTCCTCATAGTACTTGGAACTGATGGCTACAAATTTTATTTTATTTTTATTTTAAAAGGTTAACTTTCTATGTATTTTGATTATGAAAAGAATCTGTTATGTGGTGCGTCCTTTAAAAAAAAAATACTGCAGTTGTGATCTGAAAACAGCTGCTGTAGATCCATTTATTCAGAGTTTTTCAAACATTTTAAACTTCCTGCCAATTACAGAAAAGGTTGTTTTTGAGAAGGGCAACATGGGTTTGGTTTTTTTGGGGGGGTTTTTGTTTGTTTGTTTGTTTGTTTTTGTAGCTTGATAAAATGAGGCAGAAATATTCAGAACTTGTTTATTTGGCTGTTTAGGTTGTGCCCAGACACCCAGCAGCAGTGCTGTGTTTGCTACGTAGGCTGTCCTTGATCAGTTATTCTCAGCCCCCTGCTGCCTCTTCATTGTGCTGGCACACCTCTCTGTGTGAATGTGCAGTGAACCAGTTATGGGGAATGATTCAGATGAAAAACAATGCTGTATGTTTAGATCAAGGGCAGTGCTGGTAAAAGTAGACATCAAATGGCAGCCTTGTGATGGCACACAGGGGTAGATGGATTTTCTTCAATTAGACGACTTGCCTAAAGAAAAACTTCCTATGAACTGTGATTGCAGCACCAACCATAAACTGTGCACTCAAGTTGTAAGGAGAGCTGGATGTTAGCCCTGCTCAAAACAAATTTATGGAGCTACACCTTCATAGTTGTTTGTTTTTCTTAAACTAAGCCCATTGTTATGTTTTAGCAGCTCTAATAAATGAGTTCTTTTGAGCGATGCCCTCCAATAACTAGGCTGTAGAAAAGAAAGTCTCTAATTTATTCTGGAGATGCAAAGACAGATTCTAGTCCTTGCTCTGTGTATTTATGTATATCCTACGTGCAAGCTTTCATGGTAGCAGCTCTGAGCAGAAATTCTCACCCATGCAGAAGCTGCTGCAGAGATCAAAGTGAAGGAGCAAGTGGCTGTGTATTTTCTCTCAATTATATTTCAAGAGATCCATACAGTGAGATTTCTAATTTTAAGCAACAGGAATTACTTCCAGGGAAACAGTACTGGTACTGTAAGAAGTCTTCTCTGCACAATGAAGCAGAATAAGAACTTGAAGGGATATTCAGACACAAACCTGCAAGAAGTATTCTTAAAAACAGATGTAGCGTAGAGCCTGGTAGCTTGCCTGGACTTGCAGCTTTGAGTTTTTTAAGAATTAAGCAGCCTGAAACAAAATTCACTTTTATAAGGTTTTGTTGTTGTTATTTCAGAAGCATGCTGATTGCTGCCTCAGCAGAGGCCCTGAGCAGTAAATTGCTTTTGATGCATTACAAACAGATTTTTCTGGTTAGTTGTCATTGACAGTGATGGCTTTGACGTTGGTCTAGTCTGCAGGATTAATCAGAAGACACCCAACAGCTGTTACATGGTAATTGTTTCAGTCTGACCCGGTCCTCTTCTGGAGAGACACCCATTAATTATGAGTTTATCCAACAGCAAGATTCTGAATCCCTCATGCTCTTCCATCATGACAGATGTTGTCTTGTTCTTTGGGCCTTGTCTGGCAAAGACTTAAGCACCTGGTCTAGTAACCTCTTATTTTGGATATAGAACACTGCTTTCTAGCTGCTGTAAAACCCTGGAATGAATATCAAATATTCCTCAAAAGCGATTCCCTTCTTTGGGCTGTTGCGTGCGCGTTAGAGCTACAGCTGGCTGTGATCATGGTGCCTTCTATTTTAACACTAGGCAGTGTGTCAGCGCGATGAGGAGCACCGCTGTGGTAGAGGAGGTTCTTGATTAGTATCTCGTTAGCAGCTCTGTAAGAATTAACTGAAACTGATCTTTGGGAAACAGTATTTTGGAGTTATACCTGAGATTTTTTTCAGTTCTGGGCTAAACAGTAAAACTTCCTTTTTTTTTCTTTTCTGTTTTCT